ATTTTATTTGTTTTTTTTAGATATGAGCTATAGTGTAATGTAAATATTAAAAATGGATGCTATCAAGTGAAAACCAGGAATTCTAAAAATAAACTTCTTTACATAACAGAATGCGGGCTTTTAACTGACCTGACTAGAATAATAAATTATATTGTTTTTTTAAAATTATATATTAGTATTATTCAAAGTTCGTTCCGTTGTCTAAAGAAATCTATTTTTAGAATTCCTGGTTTTCACGTGGCGGCACCCAAATAATAGCTTAAATTTTTATTTATGAAATCTTTTAAGTACTAACAAAAAACTTTTTTGCAAAATTTTAATATAAACTTAGCTTTTATCCAAAGTTGGCAATAAAACTAATAAAGTTAAATAGTTATATAAATAGAGTTCAAAAACTAGTATCCATTGGCTCTATATTCATTGACAGGCCAACTCTATCTTAGCTTTTAACTCTAACTCTAATTTTAATCAAAATTTAAGTTTTGTTTTAATAAAAAATTATTTTGATTTATATATTATACTGTAGTTTATTATTGTAGTACTAAATACTACAGGTACAATATATAGTTTTTATTATATTTAATCAAATTTTTAATAAATATACATAATTAAATTTATATATATATATTATTAAAAAAAAAGATTATCTAATATTTTTTAAAAAAAAGTTATTGTTATATACTGTATAAAGACTGTTTGGTAACTTTTTGTATATTGCAATATATTAAAAAAAATAAACTTAATTAATATTTAACAAATAACTTATAAAAGATAAATAAAGTATAAATTGTAGATTATTATTTGAATTTTTTAAAGTATGATAATTATTCGATCATCGATCAAAAATTTGAGCTTCTTTCAACGCTCGAAATTTTTGATAGGCTTTTCAAACTGGCATAATATTGAATAAAGATACTACATATTCTGTTAACGTTCCTGTAGAATTCTCTTAGATAATGAATCTAATCAGCTTGTGAAGAACCAAGATCTAATGTAAAGCTGTTACTGATAGTTTTAAAAAAAAAATAATTTATAAATACGTGGTGGGTCTACAAAACAATCCTGGATTTGGCAGAGCTTTGATTCAATCATATCATATATACAATAACTAATAAAGATGACAAAGAAGCCCAATACGGCGATCTTTACAAAAACGGCATAAGTGAAACTGCACGAAAATTTATTGTGATTCCTGCAACAAGACACTAAGTGAACGCGAAGAGAACAATATTAAATCCAAAACGTGATATGAAAACAATTGATTTTATTATTCTTGATATTTAGGACTAATACAATATATGTAAATTGTATTTTAAATAATTTTATGTAATATATATATTTTTGATATTTAAAAAACTCATTTTTTGTCAAAATTTTTCACCGATGCTTGAAACTCATTGACTCCAATCTCTACAATCTCTATTCTTACAATAAGATTCTTAGGACGAATTCAAAGAATTCAGGAAACACTAAACTTTTTAGACTGTCAATTGTGGCTAATAAAATCACTGTATAACATCAAAATTTGAAAAACCTAAAAATTACAAACATGATTTCATTATGCCCGAATTCGAATTTTATGCTAGGCTAGTCTAAAATTTGCATTGTCTGGTTGGTCATTTTCTTTTCAAAACCTTGCGTGCGTATGTAAGTATTACTGACACAAATAGGAAAAACCATTGATTGTAAATACGTACATTTACATATTCGATATGCGATTGACATGTCAAGATGTAGTGTCCGTGTCTATCATATGGGTATATTGCAGGTTAGTATGTATGTGCACCATATTCACGATAGCAATTTATATTTCATAGTGCATATCGATTGTAAAAGAAATCCTTTGAGCAAAGAAGTTCTATAACTTGTCTTTGTCTTAAAAAAAGAACAATTTTAGCACTCGCTCTAAACCTGTTAAAAAGGGTTCGCTTGCAAAAGTTAAATTTTTAAGAGTCTTAATAACCATGCATTATACCGGAAATTATTTTAACATTCAATTTACCGTATGTAACGATAATAATTTATATTGTTAATTCGCATAAATTTAAACTTTAACTGTTAAACACGACAAAGCCTATAATGATATCATAGAAACATCTTTCAAATCATCTCATTTGTTCGCTAAAAATCATTCCATGGTTCCGGGCCGAATTATAATGAGCTAAAATCATCTTACCCGTTACCGTTACGGCTACTGTAAATTGCCAATGACCGAATCGATGTCTACCATAGACTGTAACTCATTGATTCCGACTCGGTAACTTATGTAAAATCTATGTAATGTATTCGGTATTTTATTAAAATAGTACTATAAATGCAATACAGATTCGGACGTATGAAATTAAATTTTTTTCAATGGTTAGAGTAAGGACGGATTAAGAAAAAGCATCTTTGACTTAAAACGTACGCATGTTCGCCCTAATTTGCGCTTCCATACAGTTCTACTCTCAAAGATTTATGTTGTAAACATACCATCAAAAATTAGTGTACGTACGTACGTACGTAAAACTGTATTACTGTATAGTACTACTTACTTTTTGTTTCATATACCGTATACGGCAGATAGTAGATAGCGATAGGTAAATACATACATTAGTTATCATAGAACTCATTCAAGTTAATTATACTTGACCATTATCTTGCCTCCTTCATTCAATACGTTTACTTATGAATGGTTTTTAATTAATATATATATATATATATGTATGTATTTATATATATATTTATCAAAGATCATTGTGAAAATTTAGAATAAAATTATTAATTAAAAGCAAGCTTTGTTTTAAATAATTGAAACCATTGTTTCAATCAAAATAAGAATAGATTATTCTTGCATTTAAGGAACAGGAATTTCCCAGCAAATATATCATATAAAATTGGGAATGAAATTACTAGTCTAAAATGGGTAAACTTTATGCTATCAATGACAGTGTTTTTTTTTTTTTTTTTTCTTGTTGGCTGAAGACAGTTTTTTTTTTTTGTCGGCTGAATAGCTCACGTAAACTCAATGGTTTCTTATTGTTCGCCTGTTGTCTAAGCAAACATTGCGCTTATGGGGGCTTACTGAACGTAATCGTTTCCAGAATAAAATCGCAAGCCACACAATATGTGTAACACTCTTTTTGTCCTGCAGAACAATGTCGTGAAAGATGAGGGTCCTGATATAGTATCATATGTGGCGCGTTAATTTCATTTTTTTTTTCGGAAGAAATCCATAAATAGTGCATAGATGCGTACATACTGTACGTACGTACTTAAATAACGCATATCTTACCGTCATCAAAACTATGGTTCTTGGTAAGTTTCCAGATACTTATCAGATCAAAAAATCATCAGCAATCCGGCAGCTTATTATGATCTGACTGTCAAATTACTCTCGTTATTGGATGCAAAGCATTCCAATAACCATATATTATTCGCTAAATATTCTATCGTTAATGTTTATAAGGAAGAAGAAACGTTCTACAACTTTTGAATATCTTTAATTTTGCTAAGTCAAAACGTAAAGTTCCTCCAAATTTACTGGTCGAATGCTTGGAAGAAATTCTTGCGCACTTGGTACAAGACAGATCATCCCTTTATTCTTGCCTTTTCGTTAATCGTCTCTTTTGTCGTCTCACTATTCCGATACTATGGCAAAACCCTTTCGAATATCAAAACAAATCTGGTTCTCGTCTTATTCGCACCTATGTATCTTGTCTTGATGATAATCAGAAAAAACTTTTATTAGATAATGGTTTAAAAGTCCCTGATTTACCAAAACCTTTTTTTGATTACCCAAAATATATGCAAGGCTTCGATTTTTTTCATTTTTCTGAAGCTGTTGAGAAATGGGTCGAAGGAAATTATTGGTCGATGCCTCCTTTTCTTATTAGAAATATGAAATTCATTGAACAACTTATTGGTAATATGCTCTTTAGTCGTTCTATTGGATTACAATCTTTCAGATATTACCGTGGATTTAGAAATATAATTGATTATCAATATTTTACTGATATTAAATTATATACTGGATTTACTCATTCTTTATCAAAACTTCAAACTTTTGAATTTCAGGCTTTTAGTTACCGCGACATTAACTCTTTTACCGCTTGGTCTGATTTATTTGAAAATATTTCAATTTCAACTAAGACAATTGAACATTTATCCCTTTTTATCCCACATAAGGCTCATAATAACAAGCAACTTTGTCAATCATTATCCAAGTTGATTCTATCTCAATCAAATTTAAAAAGTTTAGTAATTGATGAATTAACAGCCTCATTCATTTATGATGCGCTCGCTAATCAAGCTCGACATTTAACGTTTTTAAGGGTTACTTGGCTAAGTAAATTTGATCTTTTATACCAATTATTACCAATTTGCACGAACTTAGAAGCTCTGGAATTTTCTCAAGTTTCACAACCGGATCATGGAAACAATATTTCACAGTTTCCAATCACCCAAATTAATTTAAGAAATCTTTATTGTGTCGATGAAAACCCTTCTCAATCTATCGTTAATACAATTCTAAAAATGTCTAATAAAAATTTAAGTTCACTTTTGCTCAAAAATGTCAACACAGAGGCTCTCAACACTTTAGAGCTATATTGTCCAAAAATTACTCATCTTTGTTTGAAAATTACTGCAAAACAGTTACCAAATTTTATTCAATTACTTTCGGGGCTCGTACTTGAACATTTAGCTTTAGAAAATTTACCTGAAGAACCTCGATATACAACTGAAGATATAAAACTATTAGCACAAACAATTCCTCTTTCTTTACGATACTTTGGGATAAAATTTCACATTTCTCTAACGGATTTCAAATACTTTTGTAAAGAATGTGGTGCATCACTTGACGCGATTGCGTTATATTATATACCTAAAATGG